AGTTAGCACAATGCAGTTATTTAATGTTAATCATTATTAAATTTCGTATACAACTTAAAATAAGTCTTTTGTAATTTTCCTCATAAATTGTGTGTACTTTCAAAGTCTACTTCCTCACTGTGAAGGCAGCGCGCTTGGACATCGCGGCGGTTAGAATCATCACGTTGGAAGTTCACCACATCAGGAAATATGGCCAATACGACAAGCGAAGCCCCGTATGCTGGGCGAAATATTAGCCATAACTGATTTACTTGTGTTTGTTGTTGTTTGTTCTCGGCGCCTTGCGGTGTTTCTTATTTACTGCCTTTCACTACAAGGCCTAATTTCTTTGCAACGAGAGGCACAGCCTGAAATATCAGAGACTTTCCAAAGCCAGTTGGCAATATGACAAAGGTGTCTCTTCTCTCTACAAAGAGGGCTTTCAATGCTGTTCTGTGTTAAGTTCCACAACATGCGGAAAATATTCTTTGAGTACAGTTATAACAGCATCTTCAAACTAAATCGTTACAGTCGCTAGCATTTATTTATGTTCTGTCACAGAATATAGATCTCTATTCTGTGGTTCTGTTCTGTTCAATGTTTTACACCAGAGCTACGTTCATTGTTTCGCCGTGACCTTTGAACGTACAGAAATCTGTACACTCGCTCCTGATCAGCACACCAGAACGAGAATGGGGCGCACTAGACCAGACTCTCTATTTTATTTCATATATAGTAAGTCTGGTACCCAGGGTAGATAGTTATATGAAACTTGAAAATTGGAACTATTCTCCATTCCAAAGTGGTTGTTAATTTGGCGGGAATTTTTGCCGATGTAGAAAGATTGGCAATTGGTGCAGATAATACAATTAATTACGCAGGATGAAGAATAGGTAAAATTGATCTGATGTTGAAGAATCGGTTCGACAAAGGTGATGTTGGCAGGAAAAAGTACCGGGATATTGTATTCTTATTTCTGCGGAGTTTAATAGTGTTTTAGGCCAGGGTGAAGGGAATTCGATTGTTGTTGTTTTCTTTGTCCGCTTGTAGAAGGGCATCGTCTTGAGAAATTTCATTGACTTTATTTAATGGGTTTCATGGGGTCACGGTAGTTAGTGTTGTTTTTGCATTCTTGCATTCTTGCATTCTTACATTCTTGCATTCTTGCATTCTTGCATTCTTGCATTCTTGCATTCTTGCATTTTTGCATTCTTTTCAATTTTGCCTCCTGTCTGCTTTGCTCAGTTCTTGTCGAATGACTTAAAGAGGAATACTGGAAATGTCGTGTTTTTAGCATCCTATTTCATTTTGGTGCTGATTTATTTACTCATTATATTACCGTTATTTGAACAAAGTAACACACTCAACTAACATATTTTATCAGATTAAACAGGAAACATGTACCTAATCGTTGGAAAGAGCATTTCCATTCAATCATTGAAAAATAAATTTTCGAGCGGATGCTTAAGGTTAAGAGTTATTAGTTCTAAGTGTCTCCTAATTTTTTGGTCATCTTAGAGCCTGGTTTCTTATTGACGGTTTTTTATACAAAAAAATAGGTGCAATTGCCTTGAAGCAGCTTCTTTTTGGAGAGAGAAACGGAATAATCGAGCGTGAGGAACACCGAAATGAAGTGTTTAAAATAACCAGGGCCAATAAAACTGTAATTTCAGTAATCATCTGCGCGTGTTTTGATATTTATCTGTCTGATAGCCAGTTGATATTGATCAAAATTGCAGATGCTAGAAAAAAGGTATGCTTACTAACAAGTGTAGTTCATTATAAGACTGCTGTTCTCCGGAAAAGGTGAGTCAAACCTTTTGTGTTAAAGCAGTACTGGTTTTATCAAATGACAAATTTCCTTTTGCAGTCAAAAGGCTTTGACACAGATCATAAAATCGAAGTTTCCTTCATGACATTGCATTTGTTCAAATTTGATTTAGCTCCACAAGCATCTAATAGGGATAATCTCTTCGCAAGGTTTCTCTTCAAAAGGCCCCGTTTTAAAAGTAAGCTGTTCTAAGCGTGAGCCAACAAACGTTGGTTGTATACACAACACAACGATGTTTCAATGGGCCCTTTCCGTGGGTGCCCTTTTCATGGAAACAATAAAGAAAATTACATAAATAGAATACTAAAATTTGGTTAAATCAAAAATGAAGCGACCAGAGGCTTCAGTCGGTGGTAAATTACTTATCTTTTTAATTTGAAGAAGATAGGTGGCAGTGAATGTTTCTCAGATTTCCTTATAGGTTATTGCACTGAATGTGCTTTTTATTTACTTTAAAATTCTGAATTCAACAGCAGCAACAATAACAACAATAACAATAATACTTATTAAGTCAAACTTTGTCAAAACCAAAATAAAATGTAATTTCATCTTCTAACCTAAGAGATTCGTTTCATTCTTCATCGTCAGTTTGAAGTAGAATTCTGGGCTTTATTTTGAGCGCTTTTTTCACGTTCTTAATCATCTCTACTTCAAAAACCACAGAGAAAAAGTGAATAAATGCTCCGCAGTCACTATTTCTCCGTTCAGTCAACATACAGCATTGAGATCCTAATTATGGCTTAAGTATGAACTCGAATCTTAAAAATGAACTCGATAGAATCTTTTTGCAGAATGCGTCAATGTTCAACGTTAAGAAACCAAGAAAAGCATTTTCCAATGATCTAGAAGAAAATGCGAGTTTCTGCTAAGTACTCTGTGGTAGAAGAGGAGAGCAGTCATTAGATTGCCACCCGGTTGCTTGCCACAAACTCATGATGGAGAAAGGTTGGGGGTGTCATTTGATTTTTTATTGCAATTAGCTTGAAAAAGGCAAAAAATGAAATGAGTGTAATAAAAAAGCACGATCAGGGGCGTAACTTGGCCAATAGGTTTGGGAGGGGGGGGGGGTTTGAAAAGGGGTTTTTGCCCTGCAAAACTGTGTGGTGCCCTGCGAACCTCGAAGCAAAGGTTTGTCTATAGGTGTACCAAGGATAAACTTCTAAGCAATAAAAGCAAACTTGAAACTTCATTGTCTATGCAATATCTATTTCTCTACGTGCGCGTAAATTAAATGTCCAATTTGATTATCCTTTGTTATAAAGCTTGTATCTCGTGGCATATGAATTTTGGTACATGATGTGGACGGGACGACGAAATTGAGCCCGAAGGGGGGGGAGCGAAGGATAAAGTTTTGTGCTCGGGTAGGAGGACCCACCATGGTCCGACGTGAAATAAAATTTCTGAAATTATACCTTGTAAAGGTCTAAAAAGCATATCCCAGACTAAAATTTAGCAAAATACTATACTGCTAAAAATATAATTATTATTGTTTATTTGGAAAAATAGGGAGGGGGATGTCATGCTAAAGTTCTAGTGATAGACGTTGGGGAAAGAAAGAAACGGTAAGCTTTCGTTTTAGATTGCACACAGTTGTGAATGATAGAGGAAGGTGTTGTTTTGATTTGGATAATTTCATTTCCTGAACAGAAATGTGCAGTTTCTTGTCTCGAGAAGGCCATGTTTACACATCCAAAATGAAAAGTTTGCAATGATAGAGAAAACGATTTACTGAATTAATGCAAATAAAAAAAAATAAAAGATATATACATGATTAATTAAATCAAAGAAAATCGGCATCTTAACAGTTTATTCTTTTTATTTTTCATATACTGTTTTAAAATGTAATTAAAAAATGATAAAATATTTCTAACTTGACCAAAGTGGGGACCTACAGCCCCCTAGCTCCCCAGTGGCACCGTGCCTGTCATGAAAATAATTTATAACTTAAATTAATTTACGTGGACTCAACCTTGCCCTCATAAACATATGCATCAATCATCATTGCATCCATTGGCTATGACTTTCGGTAAGAAATGTTTTCAGTTGCTAATAACTGAGCTCTTTCAGAAATACCTGTTCCGTTCGCTTGAATGCAATGTCAGGAAGGGAAGTTCATCGCAAATATGATATTTCCATTTCAAAATTCCTAAACGGCCTTTAACGAACTTCAGTGGTGGCGTTTCTGCACTGCAATAAAATTATTCTCAGCGCCCTACAAAATATTCGATTGCCCTGCGAAATCGACTATTTTTAGATTGGAGGGTGGGGTGTCACACCCCCATACACCCCTCCGGTATTTTCGCTCCTGGTAACGATCTAAAATAAACCATCACCGACGCCCGAGGGCCAAGATTCACCTCATTGATTTTTTCGATGTTGTGACTCTAATTATTCGTGGAAATCTGATAACAACCTGCAGTTCTTTGACTGTCATTAGAAAAGTTTACAATCTACGGATCGCCGAAAGATAATATTTTACTATCTGTATAGCAATAAGTAAACAGAATATTTTGTTTGTAAATGTCTTGCCTACTCATGCTTAACTGGCGTGTTACCTTTGATTATAACGTTCAGTGAGGCTAAGTCATATCGGCTATTATTTCCAACATGATGCAGATGGTAAAACATTAAAAATATACGGATATCAAGTTAATTAACAACATGAAATGCTTACTGATTATGAACAAATGCTAGTACCGATAGTAGAAGGATGGAAAGAAAGATGATCGGTAAGAACCGTAGCCATTTTGCTATTAGTTTCAACATAACAATCAGTGTCCTCGGTCTTTTTTTTTATATTCTCATAAAATTTACAACGACAATCAATTACAATATAAAACCCTAGGGAGCATGGAAATCCATAACAACCCTAAGACTTACACTTAATATAGAGACACAAATATTACAATAATAAGCTACAAAAGTGATTGGAGTGGTGTGGCCCATTTTTCCAATAGCGTTGCAGAAAGGAAAAATACATTAATTCCATTTAATTGTGCCAAGAGTTAATCTAATGATATGTTGCTTGTTGTTGTAGACAACAGTTTCAATCCTCACATACATTTTTCTCATTCTGAAAATGACATCAGACATTGCGTAAATGGAAAAAACATAAAATAACGATAAAAGTTTACAAAGTAAACAGACCCCTTTCACATTCGATTATCATTGCGAGACATGATTCGGAAAAGAGGCTAATGTTGTTCCGCACAACGCTAGCTCATAATAATTATGGAACAATTCAAGACCTTGTTGCCTGGCGGAAAAACTGTCGATTCCCCTGAAGATTTAAAGAAGTTGAACGTTGAGCAGTTGAACAAGATCTTGGTGTGCTACAAGGAGAAGACATCTGGTTTGAAGGCAGACCTTATCCTAAGGGCCTACGCCATTTTTTGCCTGTTGCAAAACCAATCCCAGTATGAATGTTCTTTCTCGCAGCACCCATTAATTGGAAATGAAAATCATTGCACATATGAAGCTATCTACAAGTCAAAATGTAGCCATTTGCCTTGGACATCAGATCTAAGAGGGACTCCTGCCTTTTCTTTTGTTCAGCTGTATGACTATCTTGTTGTACGAACAACGAAGTACATTCAAGCATATCAAGCTGAAGAGTACAGCCTATAAAAAGCTCAAAGCCTTTCAGTTTTTCTACGAAGGATACATAAATAATTTTTTTGTTGCTAGAGATATTAACTTTACTTTTTTTGATGTGCGTATCAAAGCTTCAATGAAGAATGTTTTATACAAAGTCATCGTTGTCCTCTCAAACGATTCTGGTGATGTTTGCTGTGCAGCCTGTACATGTCCTGCTGGTGCTGGCATGTCTGGTTTGGGTAATTTTAACCATGTTGGTGGTGTCCTTTTTGCTTTGGAAGACTTCAATAGAAAAGGCTATCAAAGTTGTCCTCAACCTGTCTCTTCTACATCGAAGTTATCAGCGTGGAATCTGCCTTCTTCATTTACATCAATATCTCCAGTCCCAATTGACCAAATTGTAATTGAAAAGATTAAATTTGGAAGAGATAGTGGTAAATCACAAGAGCCAAAGAACATTTGCCATGATCCTTGCAAAGCCAAAGATGTTCAAATGAACGAGGAAAGCTTTGAAAAGTTGAAGAAAAGCCTTGCTGAATCCACACCTAAAAGTTGTTTTTTTGCTTTTCATCTAATGCCTGAGACCAATCCTAATTCTCCAGACTCTCCATTCAATGACTCTTTTGTTACTTTGTCTATTTCTCATTCTGAGGAGCCTGTGCCATTCAGTGACAGTTACAACATATCATGCGCTAATTTTAAAGGAATGATTGATTTCTATGCTCAGGATAACATGATTCTCAGCCAAACTGTAATACAGAATATTGAATCTGCTACATGTGGTCAATCATCCAATGATTGTTGGAAACAACATAGACTATACCTGATTACTGCCTCTAATTTTTACTCTGCAGCAGCTAACAAAGTGGAGCCATCATCAGAGTTAAAATCTATGTTTTATTCTTCTTTCTCTTCAACAAGCACTCAGCATGGACAATTAAATGAGTCACATGTACGCTCTTTGTATTTAGAAACCTTAACCAATGAAGGCATTTGTGATGCACATATTGATGAACCAGGTCTGATCATTTCTGGCATGCATTTTTTCCTTGGTGCATCTTTGGATGGTATTATTTGGGATGGAGAGGATTCATGGGGGCTTGAAATAAAATGCCCATCTTCAATCTTGATGACAAGAATTTTTTTCTCACAAAGAAAGGCAAGATTCAATTCAAAAACTCACAAGTTCTTCTACCAGATCCAAGGCCAAATGTTTTGTACAGGTTTAAAAAGAGTAGATCTGGTAGTGTGGTTTGGAGATCAGCAGTCATTGTTTATCCAGAAACATGATTTTGATGAAGATTTTGTAAAAAATTCTATCCCCCCACAGCTCAGCCATTTTTATACACGAGCGGTGCTTCAGGAATTTTTCACAAAACGGGTCAAGAGAGGCTATAAATTGTACATTCATGGTGGATGGGAAAATATTTACATTAAAGGAGCAATATTTTTGCAAAGAACTCGCAACTTTTACCTATGAACATTTTTTAAGGAATATACATATAGATGAATTTTGTGACAAATAATTTTCCTTGCTTGCTCTATAAAATTTATAATTAACATTGGCTTTTCTTCACTCAAAACAAATCATTTACTTTTCTTTGAGAGGAATTACTTTCCAAGGTACAACATAATTATTTTTAAGTTGCTAATATGTAAGTAAATTGACATCCAGTAAGTAAGTAAAAACAGCCAGTAAGTAAATTAACATTCTTAATCAGTAAGTGAGTAATCTTGGTCAAAATTTTCCCTTCAATGTACTGTGGGGATAATACCGTAGGTAGTAACCAAAAACAACAAGATAAATGTCTTTGGTGACAAAATTTCAATGAAAATTATTATGTACACTGATTGGCATTAGATACATATGCTTTATGATATACTCATACATTTCAAATCTAACATAAAAAAGATTGAAAAGCCTGCATGTATCCATTTCCTTATCCAATAAGCCCCAACACTAAAATAAGCCCCTTCCCAATTACTGATTTATATGAGACTTTATAACTTATGGCAATTACAGGCCTGGCCGTAAGACTTTTAACAGATGGGAGCAGTAAACGGGTCTCCTAGAATTATTCAGGTGAGCTATAAGAATAGAAACAAAGAAAAAATTGATTTCAAGGAAAGCAAATTTGCTTTTTAGAACAATTTAGGAGAGTAATCTCTAGCTCCTCTCCAGCGATTGAGGAGAGCCTGGAGGGGAGCAAGAGCTATGGCTCTCCTCAAATGGCCAGACCTGCAATTATGATCATACCTGTAAAAGACCTCTATCATGACCTTGATATGAATATCACTATGTATAAATGTTATGTAAACTAGCAAGGGTGCAAAGATTTTTTATTTGTTAATGCAAATCAAGCTAATAGCCAATGTTGATATTCCTGTAACATAACAGAATGAAAAATGAAAAATGATTTGCTTCCTGGAAGATCAATGGTCAGAGCAACTGACAGATTATGATTTACTTATAGCTGTTTATCTATGGGTGCTGCATATAAGAGGTGAAATGATAAAAAATTAAAGATAAAAAGCGCTGTCCATTTATATACAATTAAATTACTTCTTATGAATTGAGGGTATCACTAGAAATGGCAAAAAATTAGTTAATAGAGAGCAAACAGTAAAAATCTGATTAGTTAATAGGCATAAGGATAATGGTAGAACTCCATCGAGAATATGGTAATTTTTAATTCTACCAATGGCTCTTTCCACGTGAATTCTAAAAGCTGCAATCTGGGCTGTTTCTTCACTCTCTGCTGGTGTTAATTGTGATCTGCTTCGAAAGGTGGAATATTGAGTGTAACCCCAACTGGTAGAATGTCAGCTATATCGAATCCTCGGTCTGCCATGACATTGTCACCAGGCTCAAGAAGATCAATATGGCGACTTTTCTGGGTAATCTCTTTATCAGACACTCTGCCAGACCAAAGCTTTGAGACAAAAGTAATAGCACCGGTAGGAGATATTCCAATGAGAGCCTTCCAAGTATTGTGGTGCTTATACTCAGACCATGTCTGTGATTGAGCTTTCATGAATGAGGGAACTTTAGTAAAAATTTCTGTGCAATCAATGACTATTCTTGTGGAAGGATACTTTTTAAACTCATCAGGCATTAGAGCTTCAATATGTTCTTTAGGAGGAAAAGGAAAAAGAAGAGGCAGTTCATGGTATAGAAAGTTGATCCAGGTAGAGAATATTTTGGATGCATGACCAACAGAAATTCCAAATCTATCTGCAAGATCGTTCAAAAACAAGCCAACTTTGATACGCATTAAAACAAAAATAAATTCTTCAAAATGCGATATCCTTCTTTTAGGACCTGGTTTTGTCGATGATTCTTGTCTTTGTTTGGATGTACCATGAGACTTAGAGCCTCACCAGTAAGAAATGTTCTGCAACTTTGGTTCCAGATACTCATAAACAGATCGAAGAGAAGAATAATTAGAAAAACCAGTATAAAATTTGACAACAGAATCATCATTTTGTAACTTTTCAAGTGAAAAAAATGCCGTTTTTGCAACAGACAGTTCAGCATTTAAATTTGATATTTGGAAAGAAAGTTGATCAATCGTTTTTGAACGTTGACATACTCCCTTTGCTCATTTCTTGACTGGTTTTCATCATCACTGGAATCATCATCAAAATTAACGGGGGCCACGACAAAAGAAAAACTTGTTTGCGTAGAACTGTTTCTGTAATTAGAAACATCTTCTTGAATGGAATCAGAGCAATCATTAAGTTCAGATGTAGCGGAAGAAGAAGGCTGCTGTTGGCGAAATTCATAATAGTGGCTGCGATCCTTTGGTGCCTTGTGGGAGATTTTGCTGGTCCTCGCATCACTGTTATAAAGCTTCAACGAAGGAACTGCGCCATGATGTAACTTCCATCGCTGAGGGTTTCGCTTTAAATCTTCATCTTTGAAATGTTCTTGACAGAACACTGTACTTGTAGTAACTTTAAAACCATCCAAACCATCAACTCTTTTGATCAAGCTACACCACACTCTCTTCTCTGGATACTTTTGCGGAAATTTAAAAAATGTAGGACACTGGGTGAACTATCTGTGTTATCGGAAAGATTATAACAACCAAAAGCAGCGCATTGTCTCCCCAGCGGTTTCTTCTTTTTTACATGAATATTAGCTATCGGTTTCTCAGTATTCTCAGCCATATTGCTACCGAAAATTTTTCAACAGATTACAGGGCCTCCGACGAAGGGGAGGCGGGGAGTCTTTTTCAAAATCTTTTGTTATGGGTGTTAAATTTTCCCTTGCCCCCCCCCCACTTTTCGACCTTTGTCGGAGCCCATGGATTAGCAAATAATATCAGGATATATTGAAAAAACACAGTGCTTGCGATTGTTGTGCGAAACAACGTTAGCCTCGTTATCGAAGTCACTCCTCACAATGCAATGATATAGAAGCAATGATGCAATGATGTTTATATCTTTTATCATATATAACAATTTTATAAGAATTTGAGCATCAAAACTGCTCAAAAGTTGAGATCAAATTAGGAACTAGCTAAGGCTGAGTTACTGTTTAATGCATTTTTGAACAACATTTTATCCCAAAACGAGGATTTTTAGCCATGTGTGGTTGCTTTTCGGTGAATATTCAATGTTGTCGTCAAATGAAGGCTGTCTCACTCACTTTGTTGGTAAACAATGCATGAACACCTTCCAAGAGCGAAAAAGCTAGCAATCGCACTGCTTACACCCTATTAATTTGAACAAATTAAGGACAATCCACCCTCGGATTTTTGCGAAAATTAAGAACAGTCAGCCTGAACCTAAATTTACTGGTTTTTATAAAAAAAATAGTGAATACAACATGCACCTAGCAGCATACCCTTCCCTCTACAACGCGTATAAATGCTTGATGACACTTAGCTGAACCCAAGTTTCCTTTGAAAGATTATTCAGCGCTACTGATAATTTCAAAAGAAGAGAAACCTTTCCGCTTGATTACGAGCAAGTCGTTGGCCAATTTGCTGATTCATTTGCACTTCTTCGAAAAGAGTTGAAACTCTGAGAATTTAAATAAGTTTTGATCTTGATTCTTAACTCTACGTGGGATTTTAAAGCCTATTTACACGAGAGGAAAGGTATGGATCCAATTGGGTCCGAATTTAGGAATTAAAGTCCATATACTGCTGGTGTTTAGCGTATTGCTTAATTATCAATTTTTATTGAATCAATCGTATTCTAGGCCACATTTTTAGGGGTGTGGCTCAATTTTCCCCGCCACGCCCTAAACCGGGCACTTGAGTTTTTTTAGCCACCCTGCGATTTTGAGGCCAGACCACCCCTGAGTGTGGTTTTGAAATATTTTGAAAATATCAATGATTATATATAATCAAAAATTGGTTACCATATTCAGATTCTGTTATTAATATCCAAGCATTGAATTATGACCTATTTTCGGCTTTTTCTAAAGTTTGGCCTAGATATTTCATAGCAGTTTCTGTAAACAAACAAAGAAAAAGAAACTAAATCACTTTGTACAAATGTGTTATCCAGGTTCGGCGTTTCCATTAACTCGCAGGTGAGTCAAAAGATACCCGGGTAAAAACTGACCCACTTTGAGACCCGTTTTCAAACTTATCCGTTTTTCCGAAGGAGCCATGGCCCCCACCTTTCTGGTAAGCAAATACATTTCCAAAGAGCCCCACTTTTGAAGCACTAAATTCAGGTTTGAATTAAAGAACTTGGCCCCTCCACCTTGAAATTCGTGGTGTGGGCCCTGTTGTAAATTCTGTTTTTGCGGCTTATTTCAAATTCTATCTTCTGATTACCCATAATGTTAACTTCACAAATGGTGCAAAAGAAATTTAATACAGTTTATATCACCATTTAGCCAAGAAAAGTAAATGGTATTCAATAGCGGCACCACAGGGGGGGGGGGGCACATCCCTCTAGTTTTTGGCAGGGTCAGTTTAGTATTTCTTCTAAATTCTATGAGACAATGTTAGGGCGGGGTAGTATTTTTGCATCGCACTTTTTGTGATATACTTCTATGATTTTAAAACTGCCTTTAAATAACAAAATGGTAGTCGTTTGCCCTCTGTTTAGGTAAAATTGGTGTTCTTTGTTGGTAAAAGGGCTTTCCCCCTTCCTCCTTCCACTTCGCCTTCTTTCCCTACTCTTTCTCCTTTCCCACCTCCTTCCTTCCCTCTCTTTACCCTTATCTCCGCTCCTCCCTTCCCTTTATCAGACTTGTTTTTGGAATATCTAATTTTGCCTGTTACCTACACCTGGGCTTGGCAATTGATATTGAGCGCGCAGACCTTATTTCTTAAAACACCTTTGTGTAATGAAGGCATATTTTAGTGAAATAAGTGTTATTACTTATAACATATGAACAAAATCAATTCCCCTTTTCAAACGGGGAATTTCGGTTAGAATGCACACACCTACCACAAACTTGAATGACATTTTTGCATACAGCATTCAATCCTGCTTTATCCGATAAATAGGACATTAAAAGTACAAGCATTTCAATTAGGATGGTCTTTTTTATAAATCTGATTTCATTGTCAGTAAATCTCTTTTCTAGCTAAGACTGGAATAGTCTAAAGATTTGAATCAAAACACAACACACCGAAGAAACTAAAGACGGACATAAATTGATAAGGGTTTACATTCACAGGTACGTTTATCTATACATGTATCGCTCCGGTTGGCAATTTCATCTTTAAGTTGCAATTGCTTTATAGTCCATACACTAAAAGCCTTACATACAAACTTGTTGAACATACATACCAAAATACTTTCAGTGTGGTGTTTTGAGTAATGCAGTCTGGTCACCAAATGAATAATTTTTAATGGATAAGCTGTTGCCAGAGAACTTTTTTTTACTTGACAATGCAAGTCTACGGTACATTGGGTGAGGCTTGGGATGTGAGAGCCTCCTTGAATAGTATTGAATTGTTGAAACGAGGACTTTTGTTCATGCACGGGTGCTTTATCTGTGAAACTTTGGACTTGTCGGCAAATAAAGGATGGCTCACCTACGTTGTCGGCAAATAGGAACTTATTACCCTCTCCCCGCCCAAAGCTAGCGACCCTGCAGTGGCGTAGCGTGACTTTCTCAATTAGGTTTTCTCCTACGAAAGGGTTGGCCTAGTTGGGGCTGTTTTGGGCCGGGTAGGGTTAGATGGGGCTGGGTTGGGTTGGGTGGGGCTGGGTGTGGCTTTGTTAAACTAGGCTGTATAGATAGATTCAAAAGTTGTGTGGTGTCAATACAGGAGTTTGGCCTAAACGTTTTACTCGCATTCATCGAATACCCGGTAGCCTGTGTCCCAGACCTCTACTTTCAAGTTAGGGGTCTGGAGCACAGGCTAATACCCGAACGCTACGCCACTGAGACCTTGGCTGTGAGGCCAAAATAGAGGAGTAAATGAACTCAAAGAGAGCTATTATAGTCGTGGTTTTATTGCCGGGTGTAGATGTTTTTCCCTACAGAAGTAAATTTTGCACGGTCAAATCTCTTAACTGATAAATCATGATGGATTTGAAAGAATACTAATAGGATAGGAGATGGGTAACACATAAATCGATATTATAGCTTGAAAATAAATGAAACTAGTCTATAATGCTAGTGATATGGCCATGTCTACGAAACTGTTTCTGCAAGGAGCTAATTATAAAAAATCCCAAAAGTTAATCAAGGCTGGGATACATATTGTGAATGTATAAGTTTGTAACGTCAAGCCTGCATTTAACAGATACAATTTAAGTAAAAATTAAATGCACATTCCAAGATAATGTTTTTGAGGTAGCACACAGATCCTTTGCCTCTTTCCCCCACAATTTATTATCTCGACCCTCTTTCCGTGTAATGCCTTCAGATTTCTTCTCTTCAACTCAACAAAAAACTTATATAAAATGAAATGACCTAAGCACCCCCACACAGTGGTGGCTCCAAGGGGTCTTTGGGGTACCCCACTTTTGTTGAAGCATGGTCTGCATATTTTTTCCACAAAATGATTAAAAAGCTTTGGGTAGGGGTAGATCATATTTTTGCATAAGGAAAATTTACCTAGTACAAATTTCTGAAACAAGGCAAAAGGGCGTGGTCTCACTGGTCACGCCAATTACCCTCCCACTCTGCAGTTGCTGGCACCGCCACTGCCCTCGCAACAAAGTAAGCTTAAACTTTTCTTTAAAGACCTCAACGAGATATCAAATTAACAAGAGTTTGCATCATCGGAAGGTTTATGCAAAAACTGTTCAAAGGAAAGCTCCATCGCACCCATTCAAGGTTTGCCCTACTTTGAAACTGTGCCCCTTCTATAAATGACGCCCACATTACGCACGGTGACAGCAACCGTCAAAAAATTTTGTAGAAAGATTACAGCATGAATAAATCAACTTCAAAAATACAGTTCATAGGCTCCTTTACTTTTCCCCCTTGTATATCCCTTTGATCGCCAGTCGTCTGAACAATAAGGCAAATTACTTCAACATTGATCTAAACATGTAACTTATGATTATATCTACAATGCCTGCCAAAAGTCTTGGGACACTGACGTCAATTTTTAAGGTCAAAATCAATCATCCCCCTCTCCCCTATAGAACAATGTTGGTTTACTACATTAACTACAAAAAATTTCGTCGTGACAAAATTTCAGACAAATATTTCAGACAAATATACTATTAAATTCAAAATGAGACGAAATTTTGTCATGACAAAATTTTTTGCATTCAAGCTTTTTGAAAATTCGCATTGAATAACTATAGCACAAGGTAGAGAATCAAATTTATGTATACTTTTCCTTTTGATCTATTCCATGTAATTTACGTCTTTTCCTCATTTACATAATCTTTATAATTATCTTCATCATCATTATCATCATTATTGTCGGTTCTTGAATTAACTTTCCTTTTCACCCTCGTTCAATGAAAATAGTTCTAACTCAGTTAAAAATACAAGCTAACTCAGCTAACTCAGTTATAAATTAGAAAAAAGTTTTTGACGTTCAAGCTACTATTTAGTTTAAGCAGAGAGTCCCCATTTTTCGTTTTAATATAACTAAACAAATGTAATAAGCCTACAAAACTTCTGTATGTAAACAATGAACTCTTTTGACTCCACCTTGCAGTAACTTAGGACATATACCGCTTTAATTTGGTTTTTTCCTGACACGAGGTTCCGTGTGAAAAAGATGTCTGGGGGATTAGGCCAAAGTCCGAACCGGTGCTCAAGCCCCCTGTCTCCACGAATTCGGGACACCTATAGGATCGAATGTAAAGCAACTTGTATGGATTTGTCTTTTAATATTTTGGTAATATGTTGCTATTTTTGTGTTAAAAATCCACGACAAAATTTTGTCACGACAAAATTCTGAAAAGTTGTTCGAAATTTTATTCGACAAAGTTTATCGACAAAGACGAAATTTTTTGCTAATGTATCTAACAGGTTAGGATTTTAGGAAGCACTTTCTTTTGCGCTTCTTTTATGATATTTCTCTAAATTATCAACATTGTTTTAGGGGGAAGGCGGTGTAGGTAGTAATTTTTTGAAAGGTTTTAAATGCGGCGTACATTGCTGGGTGTTCCAAGTACTTTAGGCAGACATGTATGACATGTTTATGTATGACATCAGAGGGACCGCGACGCAAAAGACAGAAGCCCCCCTAGCGCGCCCAATTTGAGCAGGCCCTTGAGAAGTTAAAAAATTCTGAGTTTGGTGACCTTTTTACAAGTCAAATAGGCACTTAACTATATCTGAGGAGACATAGCAAAACTGTATTATTTTAGAATATTTATTATTAAATTGAGCCGGGCTTGGACCTCAAAGAATAGTGACAACTTCACAAAAACTTTGTTTGAAATCGTTTTCATTTAGATCACATAGCCAATAAAGCATAGTAAAACCCTTCTTGATGTGTGAAGTCAATTAAAAGACTGAAATATTGGTTGAGACATCAGTGGCGTACCCAGGGCCTTAGTAGTGGAGGGTCCGGATCCCCCTATTCCCCCCCTTGGGTACGCCACTGTGAGACATGGCCACATATGTGCAGGTACTGTTATTCTGTCTTTGTTTATAACTTTATGAACTAACAGAAGTCCGTTTGCAAACTTCAATTCTTTCATTGGTCATACCTTATCCAATTTTTTAACAAATTTAGCTGATTTAGCATATTTAGCGGTATTTCATAGCATTCTGAAAAGATTCAAACATATACACTATTTTATATCAATCTTTTTAGCGCGTACCAAATAATGTTAATTTCATGTTACTGTTAGTCAAAAGCTGACACGTTTTGCATGTGCCTTTTGCAATTAATTAATTAAAAATGACCTTGTAGTGTAAAAATGCAAAAATAAATTTCTTTTAGCTCTTGGTATGGTTTTATTTTAATTTTTTGTTTTATTAAGATCTCATATATACAATATCTGAGAGTTGACACGAACAGTCTCTTCTATTTCTTGAGGTCAACGCCTTTCTTCAAATCAACTTCATAAGCCGCTATTATCATGTCAAGCACCTTATCAACTGCATCTTCAAGATCTTTAAAAGATTCCTTTACATTCAATTTCATTTTTGGGCCAATTTGCTCTCCATTTACTGTGCTCTTCATAAATGTATATCCCTCTCCAATTCCTATTTCAAGAGCCTTGTATCTTTCTTTTCCACTAATTCCCCCACCCTTGGCAAGTAATATCGGCGCTTCGTCTTCCTTCTCAGTTAAAAGAATCTTTGCAACAGAGTTATACAGTCTTTCGTACCTACAATAAAAGCAACTTGTGTCAAATGGTGTTTGCATAATAGTAAATAAGAAATAAATGTACTCGATTGTGCGAGACATGTCAGCCTTAACTCTTAACCAGATTTCAGCATCCCGAAATGGGGAGTTTCGTCGGTGAATCATTGTGTATTATTGACGTTACCTTCTCAAATTCAATTAATAAATTCATTATCTAGAATTTTCATTCATCTCCAGTTCTTCTGGCCTAAAAAAGTATATTAGAAGTAAGTCCTTTAAGTGAAAAATAAAGATGTTTAATCTTGTTTTGAAGCTTGTAACTATGATGGCTTGCATCAATGACTCGTCCCTTAGGTTAAAAAAAGCACCTAATTGTCAAAGCTTTTAGTGTGAAAGTTCGATGCTTAGAACTTTTATTCTTACCAATTGTCAGTAGTGTCGGTAGCTCTTTGATATGGCATCAGGAACCAAAACATGCGTTCAGTGCTTGTTGGCAGTTCAAAGTCACTTAGAGCATAGCATGCATTCTTAGCTTCAGTTCCTCTACGGAGGCATATTCTTTCGTCTCTTATCCATGTGAATATCAGTCCCATCGTATTTTCTTTTGGAATTTTGTCTTTCAATCTTGTTAATCCCTCTCCTTTCTTGTATTCATCTTTTGCTTTCTTTGCCTTTTCTATAACGTCTTCCTCTGCCAAAATATGAAATTTATATCCTCAAGAATATTCTTATGAAGATGCAGGATAATGTTAAATGTGTGAAATTTAGAACAACTGAAATGTATAAATGATTCTAGAGCAATCAATTTTTTCATATTTAATATTTATGCTTATTGACGTAAAATATCGAATTGCTCCACATTGTTATAATGAAAATTCATATTTGTTGTTGTTTACAAATATGATGAAAAAAAATGAAATTGCTGCTTGCAAACAAAAAAATATGGACTTTATTTACTTCAAATAGCGAGCTTACCTTTTGAAACGACGCCGAGAATCAACGTAATGTCTTTGACAAAAAGGAGAGCGAATACAAATATTGAAAACTTCATTTCCCTAGCCGTAATTGCACACCAAAATGGCCGTTGTTTTAAATTCAAATTTATTGAATAGTGTACTGACGTAAACAAGATACCTCAAGCATGTAGAATCACACGCATGATCAAATGCACTGCAAAATGTTTGCTGGTGAGATTTGCTTAGTGTCTGCTACCTTAAAATTATTGCTGGTGAAAGCAATTACAACCTTTGTTTTCTGCTCATTTCCTTGAATGTAAAACCGTAACCCGCAAACCTGCAAGCAATTTAAATTAATGTTCTTGCTTGTGCAAGTTTCAACTAGCCATTGAGTTCTTTCAATATCCATTTTAGGATTCTAAGCATAGCCAGGTGCTCAACGAATAATGTACATCATCTTTGTGCTTGACAAGTTTCCAATAATTTGCACAATAGCCAAAGGCATCGAGAAAGAGGGCAATAGGGGCTTTGTACCCCCCCTCCCTCCAATGCTTTGCCCGTTAGCAGATAAAGGATTTTGAATTAACATTTCTGTAGCAGCTGAAATTCGAAAGTATGGGGCTAAAAATTTTAAAATTGAATTTTTGAATGCTAAATATTGAACTAGAAACGCACGAAAGCATTTAAAATTATTCATTTCATGATCACAAACATCATATTTAACAGTTCTCTCACAAACTGTTTTCTTTTGATTTCATACTCTGTTTTCAAAGATAACAAGAAAAGCTCTCAAAGAAATAATAACGACCGGTCTCTCATATCTTCTCAATAAATTTTGTCAACCTTCTTAAGATATCTTTTTTTTCAAAACAAAGTTTTCCTTCTTTTGAGATTGTCTTACCATTGGAAATTAGGATAGAATTGCTTTCAAAACAAAATCTCCACTACAGCATACAGAAGCTATTAACTTCTATCGTCCTGCAGACCAGACAACTAATGCTTATATTTTTTCTTTTTTTAAGTATTGAAAACCAAAAGGCGTTGATATGACAAATGTCATATTCTTAAAAATATTTTGCTTGATTTAAATGCCTTTGAGTTATATATGTCACTGTTGCCTTAAAATACAACGAATAAAGTACATTTAAAGTATTTAAAGCGCTGTGCCTCACTTCTTTGATAAGCTTAAGAAATTCCAAATCATACGAAAAATGGAAGAACAAAGTATTTTGAAAGGCTTATCTCTAACATATCCAAGGTTTTGGCATAGCGCATTAGGCTTCTGTAGTTAACTAGCCTCAGTCGAATTTGGTTGAAAGCTTGAAATGTTTTACGTATCTCTTGACCACGTATTGTCAATGCATGGCCTCGTAAGTCAGGATTGCTAAAATGCTTAGATTAATGATGATATGACATGATATTTATGATACGACATACTTTTTCAGCTAATGCTCAGCATAATTCAGCTAATATTTGCAAAACATTGATTCGCTCAATTTTTTGAATTCCAAAGTACTGTCATTCTCTTTCTTTCCAAAGATGCTGCACGAGAAGGGCGTATAGATGATTTATATTTGTTGTGAAGTAGGGTTGAGCATACCGAGAAATAAATCATATAATAGTTGTGGTTTCACCTTTACGATATATTCAGCAACAAACAAGCGAACTAATTATAAACTTAATAGGATACATGTTGACGGCGCGTGTTTTCTTCTAATCTTAAGCGAGCGTGTTTTATCGGGCGTCACCACGGGAAGACGTGACCAGCAGGTGGATACCCAAAGAGAGGGAACTGGGACCAAGGCCAAACCCAAGGAAAAACGACCCTTCTAAACAATATTCATCTTGGAGTTTCTTTTTGTCATTCTCTTTAGGAAATATCTAAAGCCCAAGAGTAAGCTGTGTCCCCATGTTCCCTAAAAATGTTCAGAGAGTATTCCCTATTCTTAATAGCGTTTCTTGAATGTTCCAACACTCTCGAAATCTTGTCAAAACGCTGTATTGCTCCCCATTTGAAAATACAAAATGTCCCTATCATCCATTCAAAAACACGGCTGATCCCTTGATTCCCATTACCCCTGGGAGGGCCTCAATATAGATCCTACTATTTCACCATAATCTTATAGCTTCTGCTTCAAATTCTGCATACATAAGACAGGCAAATGTAAATTCACTTTCCTCATAAAGTTGTCCATCTACAAAAAAGCAAAAAGGAGATCCTGTTTCACAAAAATTGGTCCCTCCACCTTGGTAAAAGGGAAAAATTGCCTTATGTAACTGTATGACAAGTTCTTATAATTTCACTCACTTTGGAAATGCATCCAAATCCTAAAAGCCTTAAACCGTTGCAAATTTGCACCAAAGGATGCAAGACGCAAATTATGCTGAACCCGCAATCCGCAGATTCCCATTGCCAAATCCGTAGACCGCATGTAGAAATAAGATCGAAACCTTGAAGCCGCAAGCCTATAATAGGCCCCCCAAGTTGGTTATTCTATTCATCGTGATCAGCTTCATAACAGCGATTGGTTAAGATGGCAGCAAATGTGAAGCAAGTAAGAATCATTTTTGTTAGAATGCAAATTTGAAGTGCTATTTGTCAAATCTCAAACAGTGTTCAATTCACTGGATCTTGCCTTCCAAAATTTAGAAATATGCTAGCTTTTTCTGAAAAGTTGTGATAATGCACCCTTTTTTTCTTGTCTTCACATTCCTTCTCTTCATTTCATCCCACAATGTATAAAAGTCTTTAAAAAATGGGAAAACTTTGCTTGATGAATAGAAATGACCAACGGTGTTGTAAGTCAGCAGGAAAGTTCAGAATAGGCAAAGCATTATATTATGCTTACAAAATGGGCGGACGTCTGCGGCCTCAGATAATCTTAACCACCATTGTGTCCCTGTAGCTATTTTGTCAGTTTTTTATCATTTAATATGTTTGCTTTATTTAGTTTAATTAGTCACCTTTTGTCATTAACAGTATTTTGTGTTAACAAGACAACTTTTTAATAATTTTATCGAAAAGGCAGCTGTGGCAAATCCAGGCAGAAATTAAATTGGATGCACAATGTGAACAAAATTTAGGACCTGAGACTTTCCCCTGGTCCTTTACAAAATACAATGATACATATATCGTTCCATAGGTATCCAGGTAATTGTCAAGACTAAAATAAAACCACTTACTGTTAAAACATTTTCTTTAAATTATGTTTGCATTGATGAAGCTCCTATCATTATTCACTGCTCGATTGTCGAATGGTATTTACCAAAACAATCAATGCAGGTAGATTGGTTATGTTGTGAATTGGTCACATGTTCTGAACTAGGCCTAGGCGATCGAAATGACTAGCTGATTAACTGCAAGTATTTGCTGTTGCTGTAAGTAAACTTATCACTTTTATAAATAGTTCTGGCTATATCTGCCCTCTTAATTGCATATCGTATCTTTAGTTTAGAATCATTCTTATGCATTCTATATTTCAAGAAACGTGTTGAAAATGGAAGAATGCTAAAAGTTACCAAACTTTTGCCATTCAAATCTTCACAATGAATCATATACTTTTAAACTCTGTGATAACTGACGCGGTCATCTACTTTTTTAGCTGCTGCACACGTCTTCAACTAAAATTCGAGGATAAGATAACCCTGATTGGTTAAATATCTGTTTTCTCAACATTTCGAGTAATAAGTTTATAATCAAACTCCATAATGGCTGTTAGCTGTGCCTTATAAAGGTCTCATTTTTGTTCACAAAAAGGGTCTGGAACATCTTTGAAATCGCTGAAAGTAACAGAATTTAGATGGATTGAATTTAACCACCGCAATCTTTAATGTTATTTGATCCCACCATAGATGGTCCCACGTCCCAATTAGTTGCACAGTTAGACAATGTTTGTTTGTAACAATATTTTGCAGCAATCTTCTATTTTCAAGCCTTTGCAAAAATACATACCAAGGTCTCAATGCATAAAAACGAATAAAGTGGCGATTTTATACCCTGGGTACCAGACTCACTATTATTTTATATAGTGAGTCTGGTACCCAGGGTAGCGATTTTAGTACACAATTAACATTTGTGCATTGTCTCGACGCTTTTTTAATTGTTTAAGCTCATTTTCCTTTAAATTTCAAGAGATTCGGTAGCTTGAAATTTTGACAACTTTTGTGAAAAATAGAGGTCGTATCAATATGTTTATATAACTCTTCAATCCGTGCAGTTGATTTGGCTTAAGGGGCAGTTGATGTCTTGAAAGCAGATTTAGAGTCGTTAAATTTAAAAAGTATCATCTGGAAAAAATACCAAGAAATAGTCCTACCTGCGATTAAACAGTCAAATCTAACGGAATTCGGCTGAAGTCAGAAGGGTAGCAAAAAAAGTTCATAAAGTTTCCTATCAAATTGCAATTTTGCGCTTGTCCTAAACTTTATGACAGAGGAAAAATTAACTGGAACCAGTGGGGAATTTAAGGGGGGGGGCAATTAGGGGCTGTTGCCCCTCCCTCGACGAGTTGAAGCAAGTATGGCGCCCATTTTTTGGAAATTGTGCGCCCCTTTTGAAGAAAAAGAATCAGGTGAAAAGGTTTCTGAGACCAATTAGTTAATTTGCTTCAAGGATAATTTCAAAGTTATGTTGCTTATTCCGAAAATGGATCTGAAATTGTTGTATACAGCGTTCTCTCATCATCAATTTTTGAAAAATTTTCAGCGCCAATACTACAAACTGCCCCTCCTTCAAGTTTGCTATTGATCCGTCCCTGACTGGAACACGATACATACATACATGCGATATATGTTATTGCAGGTTACGCTAAAGCCAGCTTGTGCTGATGTGGACCTTCTACCTGGAATCTTTTACTGGCCATAAATCAGCCAAACTTGGAACAATATCAAAGTTTTTATTCCGAGGTAGTTCCTGTTTCACATTTTACTATAAAAATTTTCAAGAACGTATTTAATGACGTCACCAATTTGCCACTCCAAATGTAACGGCGGATTCGCTAGACTTGATAAGCTCCTTTATGACTAATGTCAATTAGATAGGAAACGGTTTTCAACTGCTAAAAAGGGCAAGAGAGGCTTACAAAACGACCGTGCTTCCGCTGGGTTAAGCCTGTGTAGCCTCACCCACGTTGGCTTTTCGCCAACCCAGGTTTCTGACTCGCATGGAATAAAATCTGCTCACCATCTCCTCCAAGTAAACACTCATTTTGTG